TGACAGTGTCCACGGAGCGTAATTCAACATTGAAAAGGGGGCGAGGGGGGTTTGGCTATCAACAAAAAAGTTTTTTGAAATTACGGAAGGACGCAGATAGAAAGCGTTTGTTTTGCTCAAATGTGTCAACACTTTTCTCCATGATTGTAGACGCAATCTGCTCAGACAACTTCTTTACAATTAGGACAAGTTGGAGTTTTAGCCAGAGTTTTAACCTGAACATATTGCAAGACATACTGCTGCATTGTCAGCCTTCTACTTCTCCTTCCATTGGCAGACAATTTTTTGCAAAATTTAAGTCCTTCGTTGCCGAGTATCTTCGTCTGCAATATTGAAAACTCTATATGTTGAAAATATTTCCCACTGACCAGCAGACCCAACAACATTAATTAAATGCAACATAAGTGCGACATATGAATCAACAGTCGCATTTCTGCTGCACTTAATTGAATTGAATTCATCATGATGGTGGAAGTTCAACGTATGAATCAGGTCTTAGAGTATAGTAAGAGATATTTATTCATTAACGAATAAAGAAGCCTAAGCCATGTATTACACTGTGATAAAACACTACGGCATTTGAGAACACTAGGGAAATGTAGAAACACGGGCCGAAGCAAGTGTTTTCTACATTTCTTGAGTGTTCTCAAGAAATGTAGAAAACAAAGTGTTTTATCAGTGTAATACAAAGCTTAGGCTTCTTCATATTTGCTTTATGATATAGAGGTAATGTGGCAAAAAACAATAAAACACTTTTTCTATGCTCGCAGGGTCCTCTCTCTATTTAATTTTCCATAAAGGTAGTGAGAACCATTATTTATTAGTCAACAAATAAAGAAGCCCACGCTGTGTATTACACTGCGATAAAACACGACAGGCATTTCAGAACCAGTGATCCATTTACCTGCATGTCCGGCGTCTCAGACTCATAATTTTCCTAAAAGACACACAAATTTAGTCCCAGATGCGTCCCATTGGACACAAAAAAATTACTTTCTCTCTATTACGATCAGGACTTGATGACTTTTCTTCTCTATTTATGAAAACAAGTTAGTATCAAAGTAAGCAGCACGTGATCATAAAACGAACGCCATTACATTCTGGTCATTACAGGCTCAATTTTCATGATCAGCGGTATTTTACAGAAGCGTATGTTTTTCGATTCCATACACATGCTTTCTGTCTCTTCCTGCTTGCTTTCGTAAGGGGCACATTGTTATTCAAATTAAATGCCACTGAAGAAAAACTTAAGCCCCTGGAGGGGTAAACACAGCTCTCATTTGCAAAACAGCCCGAAGCGAGTAAACACCAAGAACAAGAAACGGCAACTGCAATGGAGAAAGATGGCACGAAAGCAAATGAAGACAATGAAGAATCAGCACAAGCGAAATCTGTGAAATCTAAGGAATGAAGATTATTTGAGCCGTGGCTCAAAACCTATTCGTGGCTGGTCTACGAGAAAAATGGAAATTATATGTATTGTTAAGTCTGCTTGGAGGCTAGGAAATCAAATGGAATGAGTAAGCAAGCCCAGTGCTGAAATTTTCAAAACACCACGCTAAATTGGCATGCTGGTCTCCTTGAACACAAGATGGCTCTCCAAGGCCTTGGGATAAGAAAGTCATTCGAGGAAGCCCGAAGAAAAGGTGAAACAAGGCAGAATAAAGCCATCCTGGTGCTTTCCAAATGTGTACAGTGGCTGTGTATGTCAAAGACTGAAAGTAACTAATAAAATACAAAGCTCATTTAATTGTACATGTTATTCATAGGTACAACTCATATAATGATGAGTGTGGGACTCACACTGCTGTGTGCGGGACTCACGGGTTTTTGGCTGTGTGAGTCCCTGGACTCACTACTGCCTTTTTCTCGAGGGATCACTGGAGAACATGAGGGAAATGTAGAAAAACGAGCCACAGGCATTTCTTGAGTATTACACTGTGATAGAACAAGACAGGCATTTGAGAATATGAGGGCAATGTAGAAAACACGAGCCTTAGGCAAGTGTTTTCTACATTTCTTGAGTGTTCTCAAAAGTCTGGAGTGTTTTATCACAGTATAATAAATGGCTTAAGCTTCTTCATTTGCTTTACAATATAGATTTTATACGACACAAGTAGAAACAACAAAGCACAAAGATTGACAAACTGACGCAATTTAATACCACTAAAGAAGTGCTACATGCCTCCTCTTCATAACTTTCTGCTGCTTCATAGAGAACTTGATCTCAAATTTCTTCAAAGAAATGTTTTTCACCATCTCTAACAAAAATGTTGGCTAAAGGTGATGTGGCGAAAAACAATAAAACACTTTTTCTATCTTTTATAATAAAACATGGGTTTTTGACCAATCAGACTGCACGCAGGGTCCTATCTAATAATTTACAATTAGATTATGAGCTCAAGATTTCTATCTATCAACTTTCACGCATAGACATAGAGAGCGAATAATCTACTTGTTTTAGTATAAATCTACTCGTCGTTCAAAATTTCGCTAAATCCTCTTCACAGACACTTCAAAAACGCCAAGAAGCGGCCATCTTTTTGTTGACAAGGGCACACTGTTACGCTACCCACTATCACAGAACAGATAGTGAGTAGCGTAGTTAATCAGAGAACGGCATTCGTGACAGAGCGCTAGTAGATTTATACTAATACTGAATATAACACAGAGAAGCATATTAAATAGTTTATAGGAAGCTTTAATACACATCACTACTAACTCGACGTTATTTTGTATCACTAATCAGTGCAAATATAACCTTTTTTTTTACCCAAACGTGTTACAACTTTCCACAAGCAAAGCAAAACAAAGTTGTGAAATGAAGCCGAAATTAAAGCTCAAGAGTTAAGTAACAGTGACACAGATACAAAAGCCCGTCACCAAGTAAGCGGTCAAAGGACAACTTCGTACGCGACGAAGACTCTGAACTTTGCTCGAAGCGTTTTAATAAACCATACATGAATTAAGAAACTGGACGAAAACAAGGAGAGCAGCGATATTTTGAGACTGAAACTTCAAGTAGTTGTTGCCAAGGTGTACGAAAATAACATTGACTGTCGGATAATTCCAAAGCGAAAGGAGAAACGCTTTATCAGCTTTTATCGTCAGTACAGTGTCTGGGTCTCCATTAACAAATTTAGTTAAATGTACCCATAAAAATCTTGAAGATTGTTGCTAATCTAATTCATGGATCAAAAAGGAAACACTGTGTCTTAAAAAGGAGCAAAATTCAGCTGTCAGGCGTTAAGAAATTTCAGTCGCCATTAGTATGATGAAAATGCGCTTAGTCAACGTTCACAGCTAACCTTGCTACACGTACCTCATTTGTGCGTTTCCAACGCTTCCTCACCAGCAGAAGTCGGTACTGACCAGATAAAAACAGCCTCACTAAAGTGCATAGGTAAGATTGAAAGTACGGTACCGCTTACACACCCAAAATCATCGTTCCATGATCACAACAGCTATGTACAGGTAAACAAAAAGATTGATATTTTTGGGCGCCAAGGTTCGTTTCATATTTTCGGAAGATTTTGATTGGATCATCCAGGACAGACACTGCTCATTCATTGGTCAACAAATTATCATTATGTAAGAGTACACGAAGCTTTTCGTACACGTAACTTCTTTTGTTTTCCTTTTCGTGAGAAAAGTATTATATAATACAGTGATTAGGTCGCTAAACGTCATCTATTAAAATAGACTAATAAATAATGGTTCTTACTACCGTTATGGAAAAAGAGATGTTTATGCAAATTTCATACTCCCAGAATTCTCTATTTTCCAATGGCCCTTAATTCGCTCTCTTTGCCCCTCAAATTTTGCATGAACTGTTGTTGTGAAATGCTCTTGGGAGGTCTGCATATTCTCAAGAGCATTTCACAGCAATAGTTAACGCAAAATTTTGGGCGCAGACAGGGTGAATTATGGGCAATTGGAAAATAGAGAAGATAAAATTTACAAATATCTGAAATATAAATGTAAAACCTCGTTCAAAGGTCTCCAAAGGGCGTTGGTTCACGTAGGTATGCAATGCGTACATGCAGCACACGAACATCGGCCTGTGGTCATAAAGGGAAATGTCTTCGGTTTACTGGGTTTATTTTTCCTTACACATGAGCAAGTTTTCCAGCATAGTGACACTGTAAGCTCCAGATATCTCCCGTCTGTTTATAGCAACACATAAAGACCGTGTTGTACAAATACCGATATTTCTTTGATCAATCATTCACTCCCGGGATTCACTCCATGACGTACTACAATAAAATCACATTCCATCGGCTCTATCTTTCAACAGCCTGGCCATTCGACTTATTGATATGCTAGGCAGTTAATTAAAATAATTGACACAAGTGGCTATTGAGGAATTTGATCACTTGCCTCAATAGGTCTCGAAATTTTCTGAATTTTGGGAAGGTGGTTAAAGATGTCCTGAGGGACAACCCCGTTCATCATGAAATGGGTGACAGTCACGTGACGTGAAGGTAGGCCCATGAAAAGAAAATTAGTGAGAAATAACGGCAAATTCGAAATTGGACAGATTTGAAATTGCCCGGTTAGAAATAACTGAGAAAATAGGGAAGAGTCCAAGTGAAATGGATTTTAGTTTGAAGTAACCAAATTCAAATTAGCAACTCCACTATCCCTTCAATATAAATTTACTATGGTATCATTAGAAAATGTTTTAAATTTCACCTCTCGTAAACCGATATATATATATATATATATATATATATATATATATATATATATATATATATATATATATATATATAT